CTGAAATGGAGAAGAAGAATAGACAGGGGTTGGACGTGGGGCTCTGAATGGGAAATGCATCCCTAGCTTGGATCCAAGAACACGTAATGAATGAAATACATTCTCCTTCAGCAAAACCGCCAAGCTATCGAGAGCGTTTCTCATGCTCATTAACACTGGACTTTTAGAACCCGATAAGAATGCAATATAAAATCAAACAGCCCCTAAAGACTGCGAGATTATATGTAATGCTCTCCTATCACCAGCCCCTGAGTGCTTGGCAGGAGAAATGGTGACATTTACTAATCAGTACCCTCTCTTATTTGTCTTGGCTGAAAGTCTCAAGTCCTCAGCTTATTGAAGTTATTTCAAACGCTCTCCATTAGATTCTGTTTAACTTCCTGGTGTTTGCAGTTGAACTTGATGGCGATGTCATGGAGGAGCTGTGTCTAAAACGTTGCGATACCACGTATGTAAATTGCAGGCTTATTTTCTTTCTTGCAGACTTTGTTCTCCAGCACATTCTCAATGCTTGGCATTCACTCTTTTCACCATTTACTCCCCTGGCATTGCCCTACTCACAGAGCCCAGAAGCTGATTCCTGTCTGAGGTGCAGCTCAGGACGTCCCATTCCCCGAGCTCCCTTCGGAATAACCTGTAACGATTCACCTCAGTGCACTGCAGTTTGTTCTCCTGCAAGTCAGCAAACAGAGCGGTTCCTTTGCACAGCCCCACGCGACACGAGGGCAGAGCTGATCAGAGCTGCTCCCTGCGATGGCCAGAAATTTTGGGCCACTGATCACTGTTGGGATCGAGCATTTGCTGTCCCGTGCCAGCTCACCTTTTTGTTCAGACTTTCCACTGAAAAATAAATGGTTATAAAATGGTCTGTGCAGTGCATACCAGGGCTCTGCAGACTGTTACTGGTCCGCAAACCACAGTTTGGCTGCTCCACAGTGTTCCCAATTGTGCTGGGGTTGCCCTTAGCACTGAATGCCTGGTTTATTCTTTATCCTCCTTCCAGCCCGTGGCTCGCTGCGTGCCAGGCAGGGCCGTGCTCTTCATCCTCCTTGCTCACCAGCCAGGAAAGGAAATTCTTCCTCTCCGAGCGGAGCTTTCCTCCCTTTCCTCTTAATTCCAGGCACATTCGCTGCAAATTCCCAAGACAGGATATTGAAAATTTCCTCAAGTGAATAGTGTTTCACCAGTTTATTTACTACAGAAAATACCAGATTTTGTCAGTTTTGGGGCCAGAAAGTGCTCTAAAGTCTCTGTATTTTTAAAATACGGTAAACAGAAAAAAAGATTGGAAGTGCTGGAATGGATTTTTGCTGCAGCACCTGAAGGCAAAGCTGGGCAGCTCGCAGAAATCCTTGCTCATCCTCCTTGCTCCGTATGGCCAGGTTCATTCTTTGCTGTTAAGGGAGTGATGGGGCAGCTCCCAGCTTGGAACCAAAGGGCAGTAAGGAAATAATGGCAGTTTGCTTCCTGGGACAGTAAGGGACCAATGGAAATCTGCTTCCTGGCAATCCAGGGTTGGGTTTGTGTGGATTCCACATGCATTTTCTTTAACGCAGTGTTCCTGTGGTCCTTCAGTCTGCTCCCAGCACAGCATCACTATGCTTTCTGCTCAAGGCACTTGGCCTACAGTAGCATTTATAACTTCTGCTCCGTTTGGGGGTCTCAGGATGGCAGTGTTTTGTTTTAAAGGCATTCCTAGCTGAGCAGTGTTATGTTTGTAGTGGCAAAGCTGTTGAGTGTCAAAAATGGGCATTAATCACGACAGTCTTGAAGGGACATCAGGAGGCTCAGGTGAAAAGTGTCTGTATAGGAATGTAAAAAAAAAAAAGGATGTGTAAACTGAAGGTGGTAATGCTTACACAGAAAGCATCTGGATTAAAATGAATATGAAATCAGCTCATTGCCAGCCAGTGCTCAAATGATGTTGGTGAACTGGATCGACTCCCTTAATGCTCCTTGCACAGGGAATTGCAGCTCCCAAAGCTTGACTGTGCACGTAGCATTCATGCAGAGGAGGGAATCGCTGTTTCCATTTGTATTTCAGGACCCAGTAGCTTTGGAGACAATAAATCAGACTCTGAATTATTCCAATGCATTGGATGGAGTGGCTCTGCAGTCTGTCAGGGCAGAAGGCTGAGAGTTTTGCCTGATTTTCCAGACGACTTCAAGCAGCTCAGCCCTTGGCACTCACTTTATGAGCTTTTCAAGTGGATATCTTTCTTCTACAGAATTCAGAGCTGTTTCATTGCTTATTTTTGCTTAAAAATTGGTATATGCAGTAGAGCAGATTTTGTGTTGGTCCCAATGGTGCCATTTGGAAGATCTGTGCTATGAAGGGCAACGAATGCCTTTGGTTGATGACGTATCTAAAGGAACTGATATCAGCAGGTGCCACGAAGGAGCAGCAAGGCTTTGATGACCCGGTTGCACGCTGGGGAGGGCCTTTATAGGTGATGCCAGACTTCTTGCAGGAGCTGGGAAAGCAGCAGCTGCTGTGACAGCGATGCGTTTTGCACGGATCAGCTTTCTGGTTTCACTTTGAAATTGGCAAATGGATTGTTATGAGAATAGTTAATAAATAAACAACTCTTCTCTGCTTGTGCGTCTGCAGCCGGCAGAGCTGTCAGTGCAGAGCAGGTCAGCTCCTCACTGCAGGATTTGGTGGTGCAGTGAGCAGCGGGTTGCGCGTCTCAGGCAAATAGTGGCAGCGAACAACACATCACACATCACAGCTTTTCTCCACTTCCTTATTCAGGTTTGTAAAACTGCCCTCAGGTGCCAGGAGAGGAGAATGTTAGCGAGGGACTCAGTAAGGCCAGGCAGTTGGGCACGATGCTGTACAGGATGGGTGTGTTAGAGCTGAATGAGGGTCAGATGACAGCGAAGAGCCAGTCACTGAAAGAAGTGCTGCTATCCACATGCCAGCTTTGCGCTACCATCGGGCTTCCTCTTGCATTTCCAGCTTGGTACAAACATGGAAATACTGCTAACATCCCCAGCTCTCAGTGGTGGAGCGGGGGCAGGCTGTGCTGAATGCATCAGGCCTATTTGAGTTCTTTTTTTTTATTTTTTTTATTTTTAAATGACAGTTTATCTGAGCTCACGGAATGAATGGATAACGTTACTATTTACATAAGCTCATTGTGATCTGTCTCGGTAATGTAATCAAATTAGGGTTAACTGCAGCTGGAGAATGCCAGCTTGTAAACTGTTTTTCAAAAAGAATCACATGGTGTTACTTGACATGTTTAGTATACATTCAGGGGGCTTTGCAAAAATTATAGCACATCCCTCACCCGTGTAGCTCAGGCAGGATCCCACTGCCAGCAGTGTGCAGAGCCCAGGAAATGAACGCAGGGAAGCATTGCTGCTGCACCTCCATTGGGTTCCCAAGCCTTAGCAGTGCCACGCTGTATTGCTTTTGGCTGAAGTCAGCGTATCAGTGGGTAGAAAAAGGGTGCAGTGTAAATTCTGAGCACGTTTCAGAACATCTGGGTCAACTGCAAGGCTGCAGCCCACTGTACACGTCAAGCACTTTATTTAGGATTATGGCATTCAGATGAGATGAAATCCAGCCTGAGCTAAAATTACCCAATGAGTAGATTTTCAAAGTATCTTTTGTTATTCTTATTAATAAACATCACATCTGGTACTTTCTCTCTCGTTTAATTAGGAGGTAGCGCTCAGTCCTGCTGTGTGCCCCAGGTTCTGCTGCTGCAGAGCTCTCCCTTCAGCCTCTGTTTTCAAACTGTTTTCATTCCAAACTGGGAATGCAGAACGAGGAGCTTGAACTTCCCTCCCGAACCACCCAGGAGGGCTTCTGAAGGCTGTCAGAACCTGGTGATGGTTGGGCAGCATCCCTGCCCCAAGGTGCCCATCCTGCCGGCTTCTTCTGGGCACATCACCAAGCAGCGTTCAGATGCACAGCCACGATGCTGTGCTGCAGAAGGACAATTTTTGAATGTGTCCAAAGTACTTTTTGCAGATCTTTTTGTTCTCCAAGAATTTCAAAATTTGGGATCTGCTCTGAATTGAAGGGGAAAAAAACAATTTGCTTTGAGAGCCCATAACTTGCCCAATGAGCACAGATCTCTCCAAACCAACAAAAGGAAGCTTGTGTTGGCATTTAGATCCAGACTCAGGAATTCCTGACTCTTAAGCCTGTTTATACAGGACTACACCACAGCCCAATTTGCACTTCATTTCAGCGTGGTTTTTTTTTTTCTTTTTTTTTTTCCACCATCCACATTTATGGGCATGTTGAACGGGTGGATTATGCACTCTGAATGCACGTAATTAACCAATTGTGTTTAAAGGTGTTTTGTGTATAATAATTGCAGTTGAGGTGTCTTGGTCTGGGGGCAACTGTGGTGGCTGTGGGTCCTTCAGCACAGCCAGCTGTGGGCAGGGCTCTGCCATGGCTCTCAAAGGGCTTCCAGTATCCACCAGCTCCCAGAGAGGGGCTGGGGATGCTCCAAGGCCACCAGCCCTTCCCGCAGTGCAGTGCCATGCATGGTGTCATTCATGTCATGGGTGTCATTCGCCGTCCCATGGAGGTGTTCCAACCTTCCAACCTGTGCACTGCACACACGAGCGCGTGAGCACGTGGGATTTTATTGCTCTGCCGTTCACCTCTTGCTCCTATTTGCTCTCAGCTGCTTTCCAAACCACAGTTTCAGTATCTATTAGAGCTGTTGTAAAGCACAGAATGCTTTAGGATTCCCACTATTTAAAACACGGTGCTGTTATTCCAGCTGAGCTCGGAGGCGTTTGCCAACATTTCTGAAGCCTGTCAGTTCAGTCCATCCCACCTGAACGTGGCCACAGGCAGCCCCATGCCAGCCTCTGAGCCACCAACTGCAATGGCTGTGCACCTGAGAGCTGTGGCCCTTGTGTAATAACAATAATAATTGTAATAATAATAATAATAATCTGTATTATTCTATAATATTCTTAGCTGCAATCCAACTTCACTTTTTTCCTTTTTTTTTCTCTCACAGCAAATACTGACTGATCCCGAGGTGACCTCCCAGGAGGGCAGTATAAAGAAGGTAGGACATGGCTTGATTTTATGCAATTTGTATTACTGCCTGGCTTTGAAATACGCCCAGTTTCTTTTTTTCTGCTCGTAATTTTGAACCATGCATCACAATAATTGTCCTAAAACCTTTCCAGTGTTTGCTCTTGCTCCTTTGGATTACATCTTGTGGTTCTATTGGCACATTCTTCTGTCTTCTTGTGATTCCAGCGTTTATGAAAAGGAAAATAGTAGTGTGAAGTGTTTCTTGATTCAGCTGCAATGTGAACAACTGCGAGTCCAAATCTTAAAACCTCATTTACCTCTTTTCCAGTCAAAGAAAATGTTGGTCCTTTGTTAAAAGTGCTAAATGTTTAGAGGTCACCTCACCACGTAAATGTGGCTTACGGAAAGGCCCAGGGAATAGGATTAGATCTATGAAAGGATAACATTTAGCGAGTATGATGTATCACCAGTGCTTTTCATCACGTTGTGATGCTTAAACTGTAATAGTGACCAGAGAAAAACGTGTTCCAAATGCGGCCCAGCTGTGTCAGTCTCTGCGCAGTGGCTGCAGGGCAGCTCAGCTCTCCACGTTTCAGTAGCCAGCCCTCTATTTGGCTTCGGGTTGATCCCAGGAACGTGGGGATGATTCCCTACACGGCCGTCTGCGGGGCAGCGCTTGTTGTGTTTGCTTATGGCTGCTGGATGTCCATCGAGGCGACGTGTCGTTGCTGAAACATGGAGTTAACTGGAATTCTTTTCAGATGCGATGGTCTTACGTTGGCTATTCGCAGCCGTGTTCATAAAATATTGGGGTTTTTTTTGGAGAGGAAGGTGTGTTACATGGGAAACTGCTACAACTGCCTTTTCCATTCACCCTCTTACTCCATCTTCAATACTGAAAGTTAAAAGGAAGCACAGCACAGTGGAATGTAATGCCTGTCAGTATCTCCAAAGTCTGGGAGCAGAAGCTGGGACCCACGGCCATTGCTGGGCCGTTCTGTTCTCACTGGTTTGAGAAAAACAAGCTCTTATTTTCGGGGCTCTCGCCATGCAATGTCCTGTGACCACGCAGTGACCTCGCAGCAGCCCTGTCGCAACGCCGCTGAACTTTTTACCTTGTTCCTCCCCATAACTCACTGGGTGTTTGTCTCTGCCTCTGTGGGATCCTTTTGTCTGGACAGACATGGTGACAAGGTGGCAGGTTCTTATTATCACCATGCACTCATCGCAGCCATGGAGGGAATTCTCCATGCCCGGACTGCTTGGCTGTTCTTTCTCAGTCCTTAATTACGATATCACTGATGAATTGTGCTTCCCCTCTTTGCTGAATCTCCATTACCCCAGAGTGAGCAGGCTTTGTATGGGACGGGGGTAGAAGGAAGCATTGAACTGGCATCCGTATGTCTTGGATGTGTGTTTTTGTGTTTAAGCTCCATTATGTTATTTCCGTTGCAAAACCTACAGGTCTTGAACAGCACCTTGTCCTTCACTGTTTTCCTGGGCAGCAGGTATGAAGGTGGACAATTATGACATTGGACTGGGGGAGAGGATTTCCCCTCCACTGCTGTCTCTAAATGCTGTGTAGAGAAGCTCTAGTGGGAGTTTATGAGGTGATAAATTTACTGAAGGATGGGCAGTAGGGCTTTACAGCTGGGGTAAAAAAGGTCAAAGCGGTAAGGTAAAGAGTTCAAGTCTAAACTTTATGGCTTGTGACAAGACTACTGCCGGACAGCTTTGCAGTAGGGGAAAAAAATGAAAAACAAAGAATGAAAACCCACTCTGTACCATTGTGGAGGTGTCTCAGGATGGTTTGTTAGCACTCCTGGCTACGCAGCATGATGCTCCGGTGGCACAAAACCTTCTGGGAGGAGATTTCCCATCCCAGCATCCCTGAACCATTCAGCTGCCACATCCCTGATGAAGGCACAGCAGCTGATGTGCGAGCTCAGTTTATTCCTGCTCTCTCGGAGGTGGGTGGTGGGAAGGGGATGCACAGAGCAGTGGGTGCAGAGCAGGAGTCGGAGCTGGAGCCAAGATGGGGCTGTGATCCCGGCGCTCACTGGGCTGACTGCTATTTGTGGGCTGAGAATGGGGCGTAGCAAGGGCTAGGGGGAGAAAAATGCTGTATTGCACAGTAAAGCAGACCTTTGGGCCTGGAAGAAAAACAGAACTCGCCATTTCCAGTGTTTTCCAGCTGGTGTCAGGGCTATTTGTGCCGGCACAGCTAACAGCACAGACCTGCAGTGGTCGTTGTTGTTTGCCTTGCTGGAATTAAGACTTCTAGCAGTAAGAACCCCCATGCAGGATCATTTGTCCATACCTGGAATGTACTGTGCCATAGAATAAAGCATGGCGTGCTCCTGGCCAGCTTTTCTTTTACCTGCTTGGCTTGCTGATACTGGGTTGACTTGCAAACTCTGCCTTAGCTCCCGGCCTGGTTTTTGTTTGCAAGTACCTGGCAGCGCAAGCAGTGCTGGCAGGCTGATGTGTGCTCAACGAGGGGAGCACCCACACGCACCGTGTACCTGCAGGCATCACTGTCACTGCTCCCCAAACTCCTTTTCCAAGCCATCCTCCTGCAGGCTGTTTATTTTGCTTAGAGAGCAGCTCATACATTCCATGACTGCATTTTCCTACGCGCCTCTGCTGCATTCAGGGCACTGGAGCACAGGGCTGCTCCCCTTCTCCTCACTGTTGTAATGATTTCGCTTTGGGGAGGGAGAGGAAAGACTCAGCCTCATTACCAGGCTCAGCTTTGGCTGCATTCTGCTGTTCCCAGCTGTGGGTGTGGGTTGGGGTGCGCCGTGCCTCCCCCCCCAGCTGCTGTGATGGGGACGTGGGGACTTCTCCTGCAGCTCTCCATTTAGTTTCTGTTTACTTAAAGGGAATAGCCCGAGGGGCTACTGGAGAGAAAACATCTGTGGGAGATAATCTATAGAGTTATCTATCTATCACTCTTGTCGACCCTGTCTCCCTTGAGAGCAAGCTGAGAGACTTGTAATAAAAAGGCATCGCTGAAGAGGCTTTAGGGACAAATAAAGAGACATGTTAAGGGCCAGCTGAAAAAGGATAGAAGACATTATTAAAGCTCAATAGCCGTCTTATCAAAATCCAATAGGATAGGCATTTGGCAAAAGGCTTTAAATTTATTCTTTGACATTCTGGAGAGCTTGAATTTATCCATTAACAAGAATGTATGGCGCAGGGAGCGGGAGATGCTATCGGCTTCAAAAGAGTGGGATTCAATCGGGCATTGTGACAAAAACAAGGAGCACAAACGGACGACAAAACCCATTTCTTCCCTTTGGCTGACTTCATACTTACATTGCAAAACACTCAAAGTGGGTAACATAATGCTGCTGACATTCTAAAGTGAAAGTAATTTATTCACCACCTTCGCTACTTTTCCCAAATCGCAGAGGTTTGCTTTAAAAATAACACGACTGTTAGGAACAATGTGAGATTAGAAATCTTGACCTCCTAGAAAGCATGGAGTTGTAAACCTGGACGGGGTGGATGGAGCTTTTATTCCTAAAACAAGAGTTAAAAAAAAGCCACCCATGTTTTGTTACTGCAGAAACGAGGAGGAGAGGTCCATAAATCTCGCCGGGTTTATTATTGTACACAGAGCGCTACAGGTCACAGGAACCATCTGATACTGCAGGAACACATTGTTCACACAGGATGATTGATTGATAATTATGATAATTTGCAAAATGATTATTTGGGTATTATAACCATCACTCGTCCCACCGGGTTGCTGTGAAGACATTTTCTATATCACAGCCGTCAGAAATGGCCTCTGGCAGCCGGGGATATGGAGGGGTCTGCTGGGCCGTCCCGCCGGGATCCGTAGGGCTGATGAATGATGACCCAGAGGAGTCAGAAATCAGACTTCAATAAGCAGTCAGGAAGGTAGTTAGGGAAGAGCAAGGGAACTGTTCACTGTCTTTTGTGCAGCAATTACCAGCGGGCCAAGCGCCCCGGGGCTCAGCGCAGCCTGTCGCAGAATCACACGCAGACGTTGGCCTCCAGATTGCTGCTGGAGCTGGTAAAGGTCCTGCATTTGCAGCTCTTTGCAAGAAACGGTGTTTATTTACCACTGACTCTGTGTTATGTCCACTGTGCAGAATAAAGACGGTCTAAGGCCGTTACCGGAGCTGATGTAAAAATCTAAAGTTCGCTGTTTCTGCATCCTTCGGTTTTGTATGCTGAAGGGTGGAACCTAAAACATCAACGAATCGAATCCAAAATGCTGCAGAAGTGAATGCGGAACAGCCCTCACCCTTACCAAGAATCACTGCTTTGAAAACAGTGCTGGGAATTTTGAAAATGGCACTGGAAATTTTGAAAACAGCGCTGGGGATTCTGAAAATAGCATTTGCTCTGCGCACTTCACTCAGCCCAAAACCAGGGAGCGTGCCTTTCCTGGCTGCCGGGGTCGAAGCTGATCCCTGCAAGCATCCCATGCTGCTGTAACGTGGCTGCAGCTGCCATCTCCCCACGAGCCCCGAGCTGCTGTTCTGTGCGTTGCATCTCTATGAAATAAGGGCATGTTTAGCCGCCACAAACAGAGGCAGCTTTGAGTTGATTTTTATAATCTTTCCCTGAATAGGTTTGCGTCATTCCAGTAAGCCCAGAACAAAAGAGTGGACAGTGTCTGAGAGTCTTTTTTATAACATTTCTCTCTTTCCATTGTCAGCGAGCTGCTAATAAAAGAACCAGGAGTCCATTAATTCAGTGAATGAACATATAGTAAAGTCAGTTCCCTCTTGAGAACAATAATGTTGCGGTCAGCTTAGGTTTCCATGGAAACTAAGTACTTCTAAGAAGTTTGCATCCTTGATTTTGCTGAAACGAAGCATGTAAAGTGAAAAAAGGTGTGAGGAGGGCAGGGGGAAGTCGGCAAGAAACCGATGGATAAATGGCTTGGCAGGAATAGGGTCACACGTTTAATTTCTGCAGTACGGTTGTTTGGGCTGAGGGGGGTGTGTAGGAAAGAGGGGTCCATAAAGGAGCCTGGGATCT